CGATTCAGTTTTGACCTTTTAAACGATCTCCTGATTTGATTAGAATTTGGAGACTCAGAAACCAAATTGGGCCGAATCTCCTCCAAATTGAATTGGCTACCGAAGCTTTGCACAGCCCTAATGGGCAGCTCAGGGTAGGACTGAGGTGCACATGAAAGGAAGCTTGTTTTTCTGTAATCAAGGCCACCGTTGTTCTGCAAATGGAGATTTCAGTCCCAGATCTCCGAATTTATCACCTTCCATAAACAGCAAAGCCACTTATAAGCATTAACAATTTTCATGGGAAAACAGCATTACTCCTTCCTCCAGCAACAGAAGGGTTAAGGCATCCCTTACCGTCTTGCATTGAGACTCAGAAGCCTTCATCTACATGTGCTTTCTTATACATTTGAAACACTCAGAAATCAAAGCTCTAGAATTCATCAAGCTATCATGCACTGCATGCTGTATGCCAACTTCAAAGGTAGCCATTGGTAATGCTGGGTCAGACATTAAGGACTCAGGGCTTCTGGCCTAACAAACAAGGGCCAAGCCTGACAGTTTGGGACCTGTTCTCACTCCAGATGAGACTGACAGCAGTCAGTTTGGCCATCTACTTCAAAGAAGTGGAATTAGCTACCTCCCATTTACTGTGGGGTAGGAACAGGCAGTAATTTAAGTGGAGTAGGTGAAGTTCAGTAAGCTCACAGCTTATTTCATCTTCCAGTAACTTGTTTGCATGCCCATGGCTACCCAGCACCCAGACAATGCTGATTTATGGAAAAAGATGCATTCCAGTTTTTTGCACAAATTAATGGAATGCAAAAGTCTGGAGAACGTTGTTATTTAAGTACACAAAAAGGAACTGACAAAGTTCATTTCTTCCCAGTTCTGATTGCTACTAATAAACATGCTTACAAACAACAAAATTTAACCCCATTATTCCACTGTATGACCTACAGTACTTCAAATAAAGATCTTTGACATTTTTAACCTACAGATGACATCACAAACCCAACAATGCTTTCTTCAGTCAGTAAAACAAGTCAGGAATTGTGTGGGTGGCTGAATTATTGGGTGCCTCAACCTTTACATTCTGCGAAAAATATTTTTACATTTCAGATATTCTCCCCTCTCCTTTCAGCTAGATGTTAGTCCATAAATAGTTATTCAGTCATCTGCTAAAGACTGGGAGGATTTCTTAGTCAGCTGTTCAGAGCCCAGCTAACTGAAAAGACTGAACGCGCTGGTGACTAACAGCTCCCCTCATCCCAGGGCGTGTTCCTTGTTTGATGAGGAAAAGTTATTCTCAGCAAGTGCCTGCATATTCCTTTCCTGGCATGCACCTTAAGCAAAGAAGGCATTATCAGACAAAGCGTGGGATTGGCAATGGAAGACGCATCTCAAGAATGAAGAATATAAACAGGTGCTAGCATAGAGTAATAGAGCCTTGCAAACTTGCCATGAAATTGTCACCCCAAGGACAAAATCTTATTGATGAGGATAATGATAAACATAAGCCATGTTCATTTCTCCTTCCAAAAAGTTCCTTGTCCAAGGCAAGTAAGATTCTGCTAGTCTATACTGGGTAATTTTGCATTTTTGTTCATTATGATGCATATTATCACTGCACATAGAGAAAATAAAAGTGTGTGTGTGTGATTTCTCACTGCTCATTATTATAGACCTGTACAAACTAGGACAATGGTCACAAGAGCTACTAGGCACAAAGCCAGATCCACAGCTGATCTAAATTGATGCAAATCTACTGTAATCAATGGAGTTATGCACACCTGCGGATTGGGCACCTTATTTCTTACAAAATCCTACTCATTTGTTTGATTAGTAGTCAAAATAATCATTTATCATGCTGACACACACACAGAGAAAATGTGTATACCCAGTACATGCATATATGTACATATAACACATTGTGGATCTCATGGCTGAATCATTTGATCACAGTGAAATATGTATAAATCAAGTGGGTGTATGTATTATACATAAACACCTCCTGTAGAAACATTCCCCTCTCTTCCATGCAACCCCAGATACATTTCACCAGGATTCAATAAATCATTCAGGAACTTCATGCAATGCTGACCCTGAAATTCTTCATAGGCCTTGCACCATACCTGAACCCTGTGCTGGCTTGACTGATACTGGGATTGTCCTGGCCCCTTTCCTGTGAGGTCTTTAGTTTCAGCATCGGCTGCTCTGTGATGGTGGTGGGACTTCTGCTCGTGATGGACCTCCCTTTTTCTAGCTTCTGAATCAAACAAGATGCTGCTTAGCTTCTCAAAAGATTTCTCCATTTCTTCTTCAGAGTATTCCAGATGTTTGCCTGGAGTACTGGGATAGTAAGTGGTTGGTGGTGAGGAGCTTTTGCTTTCCTTTTCTTTCTTTACAGCTTCCAAATCAGGGTTTTGCTTCCTCAAAATAAGAATCAAGACAAGCAAGAACAGGCACAAGTAGACAACCCATACTTCTTCCATCGCAGCAACTAGGTACCAAGGTGACAGGTGCCTTTAGATATACGTAAAAGAAAGAGAGCTGCCAACCAATGAAGTGAGTATTCAAGGCACGAGTCTTAATAGTTGTCAGGGTCCAAGACAAAATTCTATTAAAGATGAAGAGCACTGGTAATTAAATCTGTCCAGAAATCTACCTAGGACAAAAGTTCAATTTTTTTAAAGGACCTGAGCTTAAAAACTTCCCTTTGGATGAAAGGATTGCGTAGGAAAATAACATAAGCTTGTGAACAAATATTTTTGAGGACTTCTTTAAAAAAACCCCCAAAAGATGCACAGCTTCAGTGGAAAGTTACAAAAATCAGCCCTTTCAGCTCCTTATGATCTCAAAACACGTGTGTGCATGCTTTCTCTTCTGTTGTTTTCAGGCTTTTAGTCACTTTGATGCAGGGAGAGGATGACTTCAGGAGGTAGAATCTAGAAGAATCCTAGGCACCTCACTGCCAGAATCCGTGTGAGATACTGTCACTCCAAGTCCAGTTCTCCTTCAGTCTCCAAATAAGATTTTTCTTTGATAAAGGTTGATATCAAAGATCAATATTTTTCTCAGCAAAAATTCCAATCCAATAAAGGATTAAAACAAATTGCAATTCAAGGTTTCTTTTTATTTTAATGGAAAATATAAAATAGGTTAACCCCACTAATCGTTAGATACTGATTCCCCCACCCCTTACTATTTAAAAAAAGATTATATGGCCAAAACGAACAAGCAAGTTATTACTTGAGTTAAAGATTCAGTGGGATTGAGTTCGGTGGCTTCTCTCTCTCTCGTAGCTTTAGGGAGTGGCGGTCCTAATTGGTGGTCCTAGATGCTGGGGCTCCAGAGATAACACCCAGGTAGCAGTTTGCTGGGAGCCCAAGATCCCACGTTGGTGATTCTTCAATGTCTAAGCACCCGGGCACCCAACAGCCCTACCAGATTACTTCACACACCACATGGGCAAATCAAACATCTATCAGTCTGCTCCCTTCAACCAATCCTAGGGGAAAAGGGAAGGAAGGGACTAACTGACTGGCCAATCAGCTCTCTGCATTAAGCATAATAACCAAAAGGGAAGCGGGGCTGAGGGTCTGTCTGTACAGATTCAGTGGGTGGGTGGGGAAAACTTGGCTGGAGGTGCTGCTCTCTCCCCATCCGGGCAGGGGCTGGCTGGAACAGGATTGTGTTTCACAGACTCTTCCAGAGGATCTTGTTACATATAAGTGTGCCAAACCTAAAAGGAGCAGACACTGTAGCCTGGTGTCTGCTGTCTCTGCCATAAAATCTTCTTTAGCTCAGCAGCTGGTGAACAGCTCCAGACTTTTCCAGTTTGTTCCCAAACCCAGGTGTCTACCCCTCATTTTGCTGTAAAATATCCACAATGTGGAAGAGCACTGTGGCTTCTCATCTGTTACTGACTCTATACCATGGTGGATGCTCACCCCACGCATCAGGTAAAACCTGCAGGCACCGCTTAATGTTGCCACCCAAACACGGCCTAATGGCTTGACTTCCTTCCATGCAAAGAACAATGGAGCAAGATTTCACACATGAATAGCTCCTCTTTTCTTGCTCATTGTCTTATCTCGTTAGTGCTTTCAGGCTGGAACCAGTGTCTCCTCTATAAACATTATAGTTCTAAGTGCAGCAAAGCCCTGATCCTAACTGTGGACTCTGGACACTACTCTGAATTACATTAAAAATACTAAAAGAATAAAGAAGCATAATGTGGAAAAAAATAGTATGTGATTAGGTGATTTAGAACTGTCTACACATAAGGGAGCTGAATTTTTGCATAGGCAAGCTTCACGCTGTCCTTTCCTAACTTTTTTCTGCTTGGTCTTGCAACCCCACTACAAAGATGCATTATAAAAAGTTAGCAGCATTCATTCAGAACAATTACCACGGTGAAAATCTGTGAATTAGGTGAAGCCACTCTCTTAGCAGTTTAAGCATTCTTGGTAACACAACACACTTAATGCTTTACACTAGCTACCGGAAAGTTCTTTCCAGCAATCCACATCAATGGGTAGTTGGATCATTATCTCCTGGTAAGAATTTTGATAAGCACAAAATTAGTTTTTTATAAAATAATCCATAAAACAACTCAGTACACTAGAATGAAAAGGGGTATATTACTAAAGCAATGGAAACATGTAAACATTTTCTCCAGTGTTTTTGTGAATGGCCTCAAAATGCTAGAACTATTAAGTATTTTCATATTTATTCATGTGCAATGCAAAACAGTCACACCTACAAGGAGTTTCAATAATACTGTGTTATGGTGTTCTATACAGTCTCTATGATGGATGCACTTCTCAGAAAACATAAGAATCACTTTCCAAGTGTTAAGTGCTTAAGATAAAGGCAGTACTGTATCTTAAACATTTATCTGACTGTGCATCTTCTTTTTACCTAGTGCATTACCAAAAAACTCACGGCTCCCAGGTACACAGCTATTAAGAACTTGGTTTTGCAAGACTTGAAAAAGATACACAAACCACACATTCCAGGAGGCAATTTATTATACTAAAGTCAATATATATAAGAATTTCCTTGTTAAATTCAGTAACAGTTTCTTGAAGTCCTCTCCACTAAATACCCTCCCTTCTCCTGCAGCTGTTCTTAGTACACTAAAAAAATCTAGTCATGCACCATTGCTGCTCACCCAAACAACATGATTTATAAGGTTGTCAAATAGGAAAAAAATCCAGTGATCCTCCAGGGACCTATTACTCCATGATTACTCCAGTGCTCCTCCAGAGACCCATTACTCCTTTAAGCAGTGGAAAGTTCTTTCTAATTTTTCAGATCTTTTCCAGAGATGCTATTTTTCATAGGCATATTAGCCAAACCTTCATCACAGCTTTGGAAATGCACTAATCAATTGTTTGGAAAACAAAGGAGTTGTTATTTGATACAGGTCAAATAGATACTTTTAACTCAAAGGAACCTCAGTACCCTCCCATTTTATTTTGCATCCATCCGAGGTTCAGTATGGAGCTGATGCATACTTCTGGTAAAAAAAAAAAAGAGCTAGATACTGTGAGGCACAACTGCTTGCCCAGCTGGCTACTCAAAGCCTGCTTCTTTCAAGGTTTAGCTGTGCTTCCTCCACAGCTCCCATTGCCTGGCCAACCCAAAAAGCAAACACTGCTGACTCAGAAACTAAAGTCTTCACTGGATAGCTGTAGCTGGTTTTTCCTGTACATCACTGACCTGGTTTAAATCAGTCTTTACAACTTCAACACTGCTGCTGGAGTTCACCACTGACACAATGCTGTTTAGTGAAACAAAGGAACGGCCAGTCATCTATGGCTCACCCACTCTCTCCCTCCAGGATGTTTACATGTTAAACAGGACAGAAATCCTCCAAACCAGCAAAGCCTGGAAGCTATAGGATCCAAAAAGGCCTAACAGACAGCAAGGGTCACACTGCCCAATGTGATGCTGCTTTCTCCTCCTGCCTTTTCCATTCTCCAATGTGAGCCTGGATTCTCTGGCTAACAATGTTACATACTTTATGTTTTGTCTCCTCCATAATATATGTAGTTTGTGCTATTTGGGGTGGGGGGAAATTACCTTATCAAGAAAATTATTTCATGGAACTAGCACTGAGCTAAGATAAATTCAGTGACCACCTGATTCCATACTGGTTGCCTGCAAAGGCACCTTTCTGAGGGGTGAGTGAAAAAAGGGGTCCAACCAGGAGACTTGAGTCTGGAAGTTTTATGCACTGTAGGTGGAGCTGTTACCCTAAGGCACTTTGGGAGTCTTTTCACTATGAAAATATGTAATGCCTTGCTTGGTATTTTTCATCCCCTAAAACTATACAAGCTTTGGCAACATTTTCAGCAATTAAAAATCAAATAGATGCATCCAAGAAACTTTCTTAGAAAAAATTAAAGCAAAACTCCTCTTGGGAAGTTGTAAATACAAATGAGTCCATGTCAGATGCCCTGGGGGACTGTGTGTGGCTGAGAGTATCAGAATGGGATTCTGCTGGATGTAGGCTTTTCCTGGAGGATCCTGTATGCTTCCTGAAAACCTGGCTGCTCTTTCGGCGTGTGCTCTCACTCACTTCTGTGACCTTAGCAGACTTGGCAGCTTACAAAAGGGAAGAAAAAGAGAAAAAAAAAAAACACATGATGTTATGGCTCCTCTTGCACTAATATTCTGTCCTGTTGAGCTACAAGGAAGAAAGCATTCCTGCCCCCTCTCTCCATAGACATGTCTTCCCGTAGGTCCATAGATTGCAAGGGGCTGGAAGGGACCTCACAAGATCATCGCGTCCAGTCCCCCTGCACTAGGCAGGATAGACAACTGGGGTCAGGTGACCTCAGTGAGGTGATCATCCAGCCTCCTCTTGAAGATTTCCAGGGTAGGTGACTGCATCACCTCAGGACACCCTGTGAAGAAGTTTTTTCTAGTGTTAAGCCTGAAACGGTCTTCCAGGAGTTTGTAGCCATTACTCCTGGTTTTCCCCAAGGGTGCCCTGGTGAACAGTTGGTAAATCTTGAGGTAAGTCTATTAATCATACCTGTATGCATGAGCTTCAGCTGCTTCTGCCTCTCCTCCTCCATCTTCTTCCTGTAGTCTCTGAACATAGCTCGCATGACCTGGCGTTTCTTCGCTAGCACAGCTTTGTCACTGCGCAGTGTCCTGATGGCACGCAGGGCCTCATCAACTGAAACATTGGAAAGGAGGGAGATACAAACACAGCATAAATGTCTCCTTTATGGTCTCAACCTTCATCAAGATTCTCTGTGGTCTGCTTGCTTGCTTACCCTGCTTTGGAGTGGATTTCTGCATCTTCAGGCCTAGTTCCAGCTGCTCCACACACCAGTCCACTTCTCTTCGAAGCTGTTCATCTGACTATGATGTAAAATAGAACATAAAGATGAAACAAAAATTAACTATCCAAAAACTGAAGTAATAGTGCTAGTCAAAAACAAATCAAACGACCTATAGATTTAGATGTTCATTCCCTAGGACAGGAGTGGCCAACCTGTGGCTCTGGAGCCACAGGCAGCTCTTCAGAAGTTGTCTTCTTGAATCTTTGCACAAGCACACGGTGACCGGCTTCCAAATAGTCTAAATGGAAGCTGGTCACTGTGTGCTTGTGCAAAGATTCAAGAAGACGCATATTAATTTCTGAAGAGCTGCCTGTGGCTCTGGAGCCGCAGGTTGGCCACTGCTGCCCTAGGAAGTAGCTTTACAGGACTTAATAATATTTTGGCTGTAGTACCTTTCATTGAATAGAATCCTAGGGCTATCAATGACTTCCAGGGCCATCTAGTCCAAACCCCTGCACAGATGCAGCATTCACTAACCTGTCCCAGACACATGACTGCCCTGCTATTTCTGAAAACCTCCAATGAAGGAGATTGTTCAGTTTCCCATGGCTGTTCTTTTGTCCTGTTGTTAGGGGTCTACATAACTTGTGGCAAGACAAAGCAATTTTCACAGCTTGGTTGCAGCATGAAGAAATGATTTCACAGGCATTTCCCAGTGACTCTGCCCCTTGCAGCTGACTGACAGAGAAGCATATACTGTATAATTTAATAGTAAATTCAATAGAAAGTAAATTATATAATATCATTTATATTATAATAAAACTAAATATTACATTTAAATTGAAAATGTAAATATATTAAATATATAAATTTATATATACTATGAATTGTAACTTGTAACATCATAATTTATTATTATAAGTAGCATCCACAAAAAGTTTAGAAATACTAATTAATGCTAACCTTAACAGAAACATTTTTACTTCACGGACTGGCGTCTTCACTTAGACTACAATAACTCTGAATTATGTGATCTATGGCTACAGTCTTTATGTAGCCCGGGTGTACACGGGTTTGTACTTCCCTCTCTAACTGAGGGAATTATTGGCTGGGCAGCGTGCTGTGGAGGGACACAGCAGCCCAGCAGCCGCCTCCGTCCCCTATAGTCAGGCCCCATCAATCAATTACTTAACTATATACAAATTTATTATTACAACAAAACCATTAAAAAGTAAGGACATAATTTTATACGTACAAATTTACAAAACAATAAAGTGTGTGTGTGTGTGTGTGTGTGTGTAGTGTACACACACACACACACACACACACACAGAGCAAAAGCTTTTTTTCAAGAAAGAAACTAAGCCTACACTTTAACTATGATATAATAACTTTTAATATTTTAACTATAAGAAATAATACAGTAAATAGTAATACTGTACAATTACTGCCCCTCACAGGTTGCCTTAGAACGTGGCTCTGCTTCAGAGCGTGGCTGTTCTTGAGGATCATCAGCATCAATACTAATATCTGATCCTCGACACAAGCTGCCTGGATCTTCGACACAAGCTGCAGAAGCTCTTTGAAGCAACCTGTGGATGTCTGCCTGCCTGGAGGTCAGTTGCCTTTTTTCAGGAAATTGTTGTGAACAACATGAAGTTGTATCACTTCCTAAGCAGAATAAGATGACTGCTGGCTCAGCAAATTTCAAGAATTTTGAAACATTGTGCAGCAGTAGCCCAAGCCACTTTAGGTCTCTCAGGATTCACAACCTTTTCTATAATTTCAGCATCAGTAATGGTTTGTGCAACATTAAGGTCTTGCTCAATGTTTACCCACTCTTCAAGTTCAGTATCTTTTTGAGTTTAGTGAGTGGGTTTTTGAGGTCAGCATTTTGAAGGACATCAAGAACCTCTTTTAATCATTTTTTTTTCCTGTCTCACACTGAAACCTGCAAATTCTTCATCATCATCAGATCCCTCTGCAAACATGACTGCTGCCCACAATTTTCTCCCAGCCTTCCTTAAAGTTGTACTCTTCACAGCAGACCAGGCACATCACATTGAAAATTGCACCCTTAATGGTGTACTACGACTGAAATCCTTGGAGAATGCCTTCACAGTTGAGTAGCTTCCTCATAAAATCCCTTCTGTAGATAGATTTCAGCCTTTCGATAATTCCCTGATCCATAGGCTGTATGAGTGAGGTGACACCTGCAGGCAGGAAGATGGTAAAAATATTTCCAGACACTAACTCTGCTGGTGAGTTCGACAGTTGTCTAAAATCAGAATAACTTTTGTGTCTTCTGGCTTTCCAAGTTTCTTCAGATGCTCTTTCACTGATCATACAAACAAATGGTGAAACTAGTGCAAAAATATTTCCTTGTCCATCCATGCATTAGGTTGTGCCTTGTACCCAACAGGTAGATGAACGATACCCTTGAATGCCCTTGGTTGCCTGAATTTTCCCACCACTAGCAGCTAGATTCTGTGTGCGCCTGCTGCATTTGCACACGTAAGCAGAGAGTCAGGTGGTCCTTGCTCTGCTTAAAACCAGCTGCAGGAACCTCACCTGCACCAGCCAGAGCAGAAGTTGGCAAACAGTGCCAAAAAAGGCCAGATTCATCAGTGCTGTAGATCTGCTCTGGGGTTACACCATGCTCCACAACCAATTTCTGGAAAAATGCACAATATTTTTCAGCAGCCTCATGATCAGCAGATCTTTTTTCTCCAGACACATCAAGCCTTCTGATACCATGGTGAAATTTGAAGCAAGACAACAATCCATCTGAAAAACACAGGCCTCGGTCATTTCCAGTTGTTGATAAAAGTCTTTGCTTTTTCGATCAGCGTTGGGCCAGAAATTGGAGCTCCCTCTGAACGTTTTAAGACAAACCATTCGTACAATATCTTGTCTAATTGTTCCAATTTTGGTTTGCGCAGAGTACGGCATAGCTCAATTGCTTTACTTGTCTCAGAATTTGTCACAAACTGAAGTAACTCTGCCCTCTACACCTTGATGTCACAGATCGCAGACAAGCCAACACTGAATTCCTACATCATCCTGTTCTCTCCTTTCTCCAAGTGCTTAATTATGTCTAATTTCTGCATAATCCTCAAAACAACATGCTTTGGCTTCTGTCCTCTGCTTGCTGATGGAGTATGGGTAGCCATAGTTGCAGGACAGGCAAGATATTCAGCAATATAGTCACAGCACAAGCACAAGGTCAACATGATCACAATGGAGGATGAGACTGCCGCTAGTGTCACCGCTCAGCAGTGTCGTGAATGGCAAGATACTGTCTATGACAGGTGCCGGTTAATTGTTATTCAAAAATACAAGTGAACAACAGAACAACCCAGAACAAAGGATACTGATCAGGCAACCTTATAATTCTATAAATATACAAACCATTACTTCAACTTATTCACATAAACTATAAAGCACAGTCTACAAATATAACAAGCAATCCTTAGACTACATGGGTGCCCTCCAAGGCAGGGGCCCCACTCCCAAGGTATCACTACAGGAAATGAGGTGGGGGGGGAAAGAAGAGAAGAGGGAGACCCCGAAGGCTCCTAAATCCCTGTTATCACCCAGGAGCAGCCCATGTGGTGCCCCTTCACAACCCTGGGGGTTCCTCCCCTCTGGGGACCCTCTCTCCAAGGTAACTTACTACTCCACAGTCCCAGAGGGTTGCCTCCTGTTCTCCAGGTCGAGCTCTGCTCCCCGCTGGGCTTTCCTGGCATCTGACTCTGCTGCCGCCAGCCTGGCTTAGGGCCACATATACCGTTGTGTATAGCGGGTGCTTCACTTTGTGCTAGAGACTGGAGGCCCAGGCAGCCTTCTGCAGCACTGGGGCTTGGTCTGCTCCTGGACCCTCTGTGCAGCGTCATCTGCACTGAGCTGCTGCCCCGTGCCAGCAGCTGTGGACTCGAGCCACCTCAAGCGGCTCTGAGGGTCTCTCACCCTCTGTGCAGCGCCTGATGCACCGAGCTCCCGGCCTCATGCAGAGGTTGGGGACCTGAGCTGCTCAAGTGGCTCCAAAGATCCTGCTCCATACCTATGCACTGTGTCTCTGGCCACATGCCAAAGGTTTCAGACCTGAACCACCTTATGCAGCTCCCAGGGTCTGGATGCCGTGCCTGCACACTGACAGCCTAACTGCTGGAGTTGTCCACAGCTCCCCACTGATAGAAGTCTCCAGGGGCACTTCTGGGCTACTGCTGAGCATCTCTCCTCAGCCATGCTCTTCTCTCTTCTCCATCCCTGATGCCTCCCTCATGCTGGGCACACAGCTCCTTTTATACTGTCCAGGGCTCTGCCCCTGAAGTCTTCCAGACCTGACAGTGTTGCAGTTTTCAGTCAGGTCCGGAAGAGCTCCTCTCCCTCTCCCCTCAGGAAAGGGGTGCGACTTCACTTCTCTTGCTGCCTCCTGATTGGTGGATGCGCTCCACCAATCAAAACAGCAGAATCTCAAGCCTGCGACTCAACCCAAGATCTGAAAGGTAAGCCTGCTACATTTGTATTAAGCACTAGGACATTATAAAACAGCATATTATATGAATAATACATTGGGGTTTTCCTTTTAGGTTGATTTTGCAGGAAATTGAAGCCAATGCAATATTTCTGGCGATTGTGAATAACGCCATTTTTTCCTGTTTCCACAAAACCACGAATTAAGTAGACCCCTACCTATCGTTCCTATAGCTAGAATGAGGAGAGAATGATAAAGTCCTGCACACTTGCTCATTAAGACTCTGAGCCCATCCATGAGGTACAACTGTATAGTCAGCTGGCTTTCACCAGCGCACTTATCCTATGCTTACAAAGAGCACTGGACACCTTTCATATAAAAGGAGCTTTACACACACATATCATTTTACAGATATAAAACTGAAGTACAAAGAGGTGAAATGGCCTACCTGAGGTCACACAGCAAGCACGGGACAAAACCAGAAACAGTTCTGCTGGCTTGGCTCCTTCAGCCTGCCTTTCTCGGAGTATAGAACAGGGGTGGGCAATTATTTTGGGTAGAGGGCTGCTTACCCAGTTTTGGCAGGCTGTCAAGGGCCACGT